AAGATGACGATGGAGATGTTGAAAAACATGTACAACATCAGGTGCTCGAGACATGTACGTGGAATGACTCGCGCGTGCACCTATGCTTGGAAATGCTGATTTGGCATCTCTGAAATTGTAGGCGTGAGTGCGCCGGGCTCGACGGCAACGTGCCCCGCACATGCGCGCCAGCAGGCATGCTTCCTCTCGTCGCCGCCCTCGAATGGCGCCGAAGCTCCACGGAGGGAGGAGGAGGATGAGAAGGAGGATGAGAAGGAGGATGAGGAGGAATAGTAAGAACAGTCGTAAGAATAATAAGAAGAATAATAATATGGAACACGCTGTTAATAATAATAATGATATTAAGAAGAATAGTAATGAACGTATGAGTACTAAACGTAATACTACTAGTAAGCATTATCATGATACTACTATCAACAATAATAACAACTACATATTAGTCGGCATACTGACGGTAATAATAATACTAGTAAGAAGAAGAGGAGGAATATCAGTAATAAGAAACATAGTAAGAGGGAGGATGGAAATGAGCGGGGGATTGATGAGGTGGGCGCCCAGCAAATAGTATCACCTGGCAGCGCCTCCCATTTATCAATGAGGGAAAGCACCTGCTAAGTGGTCCTGTCAGGCCTGTCGACCAGGCAGCCTCCCTTTTTGGGTTTTCCCGAGGTGCATGATGATTGTCTGAACCTGGGGTTGTCCATGCGACCCGGGCCGATGCTTTGACTTATGCTTCTCTATGGTGGTACAGCCCCCTATCCTTTATGATACTTTCACTTGTCAGTGACGCTGTGTGTGTGTGTGTACTGCGAGGGCCAATGGACGTGAACCATGATCGGCAATGCTCCTCATGCTCCCCTAGACGCGAAGCCAGGGAGTGTTGAAAAATGTGTCGCAAGATGGGGCGGCTGGGATCAGGCCAGTGTGTTGGGGCTGGCGAGTTTCAAGCTCCCCGTCAGGCCATCCGTGATCGCAGTGTTTTCGCCCTGCAGTTGCCTTGACATTTTTTTCTCTAACCAGTTTGCTCGGGGTCAATATTGTGATCGTTTTCTTATTCGTTGTTTTGCCGATCGGCGCGGGCCCTCGCCCCCTCCCCCCCCTATGGAGTAGATCTTGGCTGTTTTTTGGTGCCTGTTTCGAGCAGGTGGAGTCTCCCCCATAAGACGCACGGTTCCAAACAGCCGCATTTAGCAGAGGTCCAGAGCCAGACGCCCCCCCCCTTCCCCCCACCCTCCGCCCCATGTCGACATGCCGAATTTCAGAAACGCTCACATTCTGATTGGTGTCGAGGCGCGTTCCCTACCCGACTCCAGAGCGGACCAAGTCCCTCTCCCTCTTAGAATCGAGGAGACGGAAACATAGACTGCAGTCGGGGCGCTGAGGAAGGACCCCTTTTCGTTTGGGAGGGGCTCCGTGTTCCTCAATTGTTGTACAGTCTACCTTAGGTTTTCCTCTGGCTCTCGATGGGGAATCGAAGTTTAGCTTATGGGAAAACGGGGCCTCGTTCCTTAGTTATCGTTCCTTAGGTCAACGCCCCGACTGTAAAGCGCGTGTTTTAGCGGCGTGCCCCGTTTTCTTACGAAGTCGGCGCGCTCCGTGGCGACATCGGGCGGTATTGGCCGCATGTTTCGGGGGGTACCGTTACCGATCCCAGGATCTGGCGCAACACGCGCCAGATCCATGGATCCTTAATCCATGTTGGCGTGACAGCGAGGCACTAGTGACCTGTCAGCTCTCGAGTGTAGTATACGTACTTATCACGAGCAGGTGCATATTTTACGAAGTGGTCCCCTATGCTGCCTAATAAAATTATGAAACAATAGCGTTTGCCCCACAGAGCCTCATAGGAAGCCCTCTGGATCCATCCAGAACTTCTCAGAGCCACCCACCACCTTCTCGAGCCCTTGGCATCGCTCGGACGTGTGCGTTTTTTCCTCGGCGAGGACCATCGAGGAGCATCCTTGATCATGTGGCGAAAAAACACGCACGAAGCCGAAAAAAAACACAGGGAATGGACGTCCGAGCGATGGCCAGAGCCTGCCTACCCCCCTCGTGCTCTCGAGTGATTGCAGGATCAGGTTCGGAGCCAGCGGCGGGAGTACTTCCGCTCGCCTGAAGTCTGCGACACGTCTGCCCAGCGGGTGTGTGTCGTGCCTCGTAATGGTCTCCCCTGCCCGAAAGGATCCACTGCGACGGCGATGCCCAGGGCACGGCGCGCGACAAGTAGTCGCGACCTTCGGCGATCGCGCCGTGGTCCCGTCCTAGAAAGCTGGCAGCTGCGCCCTGAGGACCTCCTCCTCCTCCTCCTCCTCCTCGTCCTCCTCCTCCTCCTCCTCCTCCTCCTCCTCTCCTCCCTCCTCCTCCCTCCTCCCCTCCTCCCTCCTCCCTCCTCCTCCTCCTCCTCCTCCTCCTCTTCCTTTGCAAGCATGGGAGATAGAGATCCCGTACACATGGTATCCACTACAGAAAGGCATGGCGTGAATGAGCTGCCCATTTCGCTTCTTTGGCGAGCACGCCACTATCCATGCGGACCTTCAGACCTTAGACTTTGAGTGCACAGAATGCTGCCCGGC